TACGCGCTCGGCAATAACATCTTGCAAAACATTGGGATGGCGGTTGTCAATGCACAGAGAGACTAAGAATCTAATGAAGTATCAATGATGAGTTGACTTTTTAAACAGGCGTTTTGGTTTCGAAGATATCAACATAAAACGTTTTGAGGTTGGTCAAAAAAGGCTCCTTTTTGGGCATTTTAAAAATGGCTGGAGAAGACGTGCAGATCTCACCAAACTCCTCCCTTCCACAACGCAGAAGTCAACTGCCGTGTCGAGAGTATCTTTTTTCCATCTTGTTGAGCTAGCACAAGTCGAGAAAAATAAGTTGAAAAGTGACCTCATATGAGGTCAAATGGCCTCATGTGGGGTCATTTGTCACCTAGACACTAGACGTTTCCGCGGAAAGAAAAAGGAAACAAAAAGAAAGGTTTCTATTGCAATTCCTGAAAATTATTGAATACATTACAGTAAAGTGAATACGTGTAACGAGCCGTCCCCTTTTTCTTGCTTACACCTAGATAGACTAGATAGATAGACTAAGAGCATCACTACCGGTAGAAGCAAATAACCAAATAACCAAAATTTGATGATTTGATGTCGATTGTCATCCCCACCGGTCCGACCAAATCAGCAAATTTTTGGTTCCGAGGCAAATATCGGAACCAAATATCAAGAATTAGGTTCCGCTTCTCCGTCATTTGGTACCCTAGACAATCCAGTTGTCCAAGGCTCACTGGTCAGACAAAAAGACTTCCCTCCAAAAAACACGACGAAGGGGTTTTGTGGCAAAACAAGCGGCAGTCTCCCGCCATCTTTCCTCTTCAGATGCCACAAGACCAGCACGGATTTTATTGTTTTCCGGTAGGGATGCTCCGCACTGGTCGGTGAAGGCATCTCTGAGAGCATCCCCGCTGTTGGTCATCAAGCGCAAGCTCGGTGATGACAAAATGAGTTCCCCCTGTTCAGGCTCGCTACCCCCCTCTTCCCTGGATCCTCCCATCTATGGGACCCCAACACGTTCAGCTTCGGTTCCGTTAACGTCTTCAGAGTCCGTCACTGCGACTCCTCGTAGGAGGGGACACGGGTGAGTACGAGGGTCAGTAAGAGCGTACTACACAGTATTTGGTTCTGACCGGTGGGGCCGTCCTTTTTGAAATATCAAATAACCAAAGAAGCAAATCACCAAATTCCCACCAGCCAATTGAGTTCTAGAAAAAAAGTGCCAAGTGTTCTTGTTTGGTCATTTGATCACCTACCGGTGGTGATGCTCTAACGTCTAGGAAAAGAAAAAAAAGAAAAAAGCATCATCTTCATGATAGCGACCAAAGTGCCCATCCCTGCGACCACGACCCCATGATCGTGTTCTATCTGTGAAACTTCGCGGCACGTTTCTCCGTCCGTTTGGGCCAACACAGCCTCAGACCCATCCTCTCGCCTTTGCACAATTCGTTTCCCTCTTGTAGTTATTTGGGGTTTTCGCCCTATGCGAGAAATAGTATCCAAGTCTGTTGCACTCAGAAATCGATCAGTAATATCATCCAAGTCCTCTTTCACGCCAACATGAATTGTGATTCCTCTCTCCACGTCCCACACCCGCACGACATCTTGTCCCAGCATGCAGATGCAACACGCCTTCCTTCTGCATTCATCGCAACGCTACCCATCGCACCAGTACGTCCATTCAATGCGTCCCTGATTTATGCTCTCGTCTCCACGTCCCACACCCGCACGCTCTTGCCCTCCGATCCAGATACCACACACTTTCCGTCCGCAATCATCGCAACGCCATCCACCTCCAACTCATGACGGCGGAAATTTCTCCGTATATTCCCCTCATATACACTCCACCGCGCCAGCCTCCCATCTTCATATCTGACAACCACACACCCTTTCCTCTTGCAGAAAGTCGCGCAGCTGGCCCTCGTCACTTTTGCTATTCCTCCAGTCACTTCGGATTCTTCACTTCGAGAACACGACCCAGAACATGTCCTCAAACGTCTGCTCCTTTTGCGCCTGCTTCCCTCAATGTCCGATGAACCTGTACTCTCTATTTCAAAGTCTCACTCCAATCGAATCACCTTCGTCCCTTCTCAAGAGAATTCGTGAAAACTGTTACCTCTAGCCCGCACAACTTCACCTGACATCCATACACTCCACCTGACATCCATACACTCCACCCCTCGAGTCCATCTTGACTTCGATGCCTCGGTGATAGCGATATGGGAGGACAATCTGCCCTACCAAATTTACACCAGCTGGCCCTACACATTAACTAACAGGCCGTTTCCACGGCCGCGGTGCGCATCTCTCGATTTCCTCTAAGATCATGTATGGCGTTCTTCGTCGTCGCACAGTGTGGGCAGCAAGGAAATGCTTCTACGCTTAGCGCTGCGGATGAGCTCAATATCTTGAAGGGGCGTAGCTCTTGCAGTATAGCGTAAGCGCCCACTCGCCATTGGATTTTGGAGAGATCCCTTGCAATGGTTTTGCGACTTGTTACTGCGTTGTTGGCACATGGAAACACCGCACATGGCAACACCGCATGCCAACCTAGCGCATCGTCACTCTGGTCAAGCGGTTCTTCGCGCCAGGCACATGACATGTCCGCCAGGCTACGCAGAGTCTAGATTGCACGTGTCCTTATGTGACGTTGCTTTCATGATAAGAAAAGAAAGATACCCTCTCCATCACACATGGCTCCCGCGAAGCGAAAGGATGGGAAAAAAGTAGAGCGCACCTAGCCCGATTTTTACAGGGTTCAGCAAAGAAGCACTTGCAGAATTCTGAAATTCAAACCTGAAGAAAAGTGCGGTATTGTGGATGGTACTCGCTAAGTCCCAACAAATGCCTTGCTTAAGCGACACAAGTTTACCGTAGGCAATGCTGTAGCTATTCCTTTGCTGTACAGCGAAAGATAGGACTTCGCTGTCCGAGTCCGACTGCATCCTACAGTCATGCAGTACAACTAATCTGAGCTACAGTACCCTTGTTCTCCTGAGATGAAATGCGTTCAGCGTCAATCTATACTGTTAGAGAAAGTAGGATGTACCCCTTTTTCTGATCTGTTTATTGTTGCTACTCTTTTATTTATAGTTGATGGGAATACCAGTATGGTGAACTGCTGGAGCGCATCCTGCATCAAGAGTAATACGACTACAGCGACACGTAGGTTAGAGTAGGTTCGGTATAATCGACCCCAAAGTTGACGGCCCATGTCTGACATGCTACAGTACCAATTTCCTCAATTCAGCGGAATTGAGGTTGATTACGTTATACAAACTGGAATGCACTGAGAACGCATCTGCACATGCAATGCAGTATATATCCAAGTATCGTACAGCAGCTCTAACAGAATAAACTACAACATCTTCAACTTTCCTGACCTGTTCCCACCAGATTTTATACTACTGTGACACGGAAAAGACGACGAACCAGTTTCGGGTCGTCCGGAGGAAGGGCAATTATTTCCGAGGTCTTCAGGAGAGTACAGATTATTTCCTGCCGTTTGACGTACTGTGTAAATTATTTGGCACTCCCAATATATACATCTCTTTTGTGTCTGCAGTACAGTACTTCTGGTTTGGTATATAAAAGCTTCTGTTTCGTGCCATTACTCTGGGAGGTACACACACAGCCAAGATTTCTTTCATCCATCCCCGGACTCTCTTGGTCCTGAGGTGATCTCTCAGGTCTGAGAAGCTGCCAGTTGCACATAACTAATGGGTAAGAAGAGCACTGTCAAAAAAATAGCTCGCAAATAGGCCCAACACATGTAAAACTATCTGATGTACAATAGGATGTCAAGTTATACGGCCGTGTAAACCTGTTTCAGTTCGCTAATTACTTGTCGGAAAGCGTTTGCAGAACATGTGTATGACATACCTGTCTTTATGGGTTTTGACAAGTAAACTTCGATTTGGTAATTCGTCAGCCTGTCCTCGGCTATGGCCTGTGATGCCAAGAACACCGATGCCTCCCTCCCCCTGTGGAGAGGGAGCCGACGGTGGCTTTAATATGTGCGTGTCTGATGTGCCCTAACGGCAGTGCCTCATCTACTGTGCTGTCCTAGCTCTGGATGGAACCACATGGCCCGGCTGTGTAGCGGTTCCATTATCAATGCGCTCCATATCCCCCGCGAGCTATAGCGGATAGTTTCACAACGGTACAGTACGTATTTAACACACCGCTTTACCCCCAGAGCAGAGACAAGAATAGGATGGGGTCCCAGGAGTGAGCCTGGCGGGACGAGGGATAAGAAACGTCGATGTGAACGGAGGAGGCTCCTTCGCGATTTCCTCAATCCTATGTCGCAAAAATGCACCTGGCCACCTTCAGTTGATTTTAATCAAATCAAAACTACAGAAGTCGTGCGGCAACCTATCCATTCATAATTGCACCTACATATCAATACTTTAGGCAGTGCATCCATCAGTCGTCGTCTGTATTCTGTCCTGCCTTTTTCTGTAGCCCTTGACTCGCATGCAAGATTTGTGCTTGAAATAGCTTCCCACCATCTTGAGACCGTTATCTTGAGTGGTTTCTAAATCTTAGATGCCCAATCTCTGGGTGCACTCCCAGAAGGAGACTAGGTGAGGCTGAAGGAGGGGACACCTTGCGTACATAGCCAAGTATTGTACTCGGGGGCATGTCTTCGCTGGGATATACCCCCGACCTTTAGGGAATTAGAGGATTATCGGGGCTGGCACTCCCCACTTGAGCACATGTAAAGTCTCCGTGGGGCTGATAATCAACGTGGTACAGTATGTCCTGGCTGGAAGGGCCAGCATGTGTTATATGAGCTCGCGGCGCGAAGGCTTTGCAGAAACTGAAGTAGCGCACAGCACTGTTAGCAATACATAAGAGCGGCGTTCTACTTCCTCAGCTCTCGCTTCTCCGCCACTTGTGTGACCAAGACGCTACCTTGTTCAGTTGCCATCCGATCTACATCGACACTTTCTTCAAATATCATTCACACCACCACTGCACATCTCAATCCAGACATGGCCCTCTCTACCAGTATGAGCAGCACGACATTGTACGTCTTGCTTTTCTTGCTTCCTCTGTGGCATGGCGTAAATGCCCGAGACCTCTGCCCTCCAGGATCCGTAAGCTCGAATGGGGCAGAGCCTTGCAGAGACTGCCCCGCCGGTAGATACCAACCTTATGCAGGCAAGAAGTCATGTTTGTCGTGTCCTAAGGGCACCTACCAAAACTACGGTGGACGAAGCTCCTGCTACACTTGTCCCCAGGGGGATTATCAACCAGAAACGGGCAAGACAAGCTGTCGTGAATGTCCTTCCGGGTCGTTTGGGAGATGGGAACGCGCAACTAGCGCGGCGACGTGCAAGAAGTGTGCGCCTGGAGCGTACCAACCCTATGGCGGACGAAGCTCCTGCTATACGTGCAATCAAGGAGATTTCCAACCGAAGGCAGGACAGACAAGCTGCTTTGAATGTCCGCCCGGATCGTATGGAAGGAAGGAAGGCGCGACTAGTCGGGCGACTTGCAAGAAGTGTGTGCCTGGCACGTACCAGCCCTACGGCGGACGAAGCTCCTGCTATACGTGCAATCAAGGAGACTATCAACCAAAGGCTGGAAAGGCAAGCTGCTTTGAATGTCCGGCCGGATCGTATGGAAGAAAGGAAGGCGCGACTAGTCGGGCGACGTGCAAGAAGTGTGCGCCTGGAACGTACCAAAACTATAGCGGACGAAGCTCCTGCTATACGTGCAATCAAGGAGATTTCCAACCGAAGGCAGGACAGAAAAGCTGCTTTGAATGTCCGCCCGGATCGTATGGAAAGAAGGAAGGTGCGACTAGTAAGGCGACGTGCAAGAAGTGTGCGCCTGGAACGTACCAAAACTATAGCGGACGAAGCTCCTGCTATACGTGCAATCAAGGAGACTATCAACCAAAGGCTGGAAAGACAAGCTGTTTTGAATGTCCGGTCGGATCGTATGGAAGGAAGGAAGGCGCGACTAGTCGGGCGACGTGCAAGAAGTGTGCGCCTGGCACGTACCAGCCCTACGGTGGACGAAGCTCCTGCTATACGTGTTCTCAAGGAGACTATCAGCCAAAGGCTGGAATGAAAAGCTGCTTTGAATGTCCGCCCGGATCGTATGGAAGCAGGGAAGGTGCAACTAGTAGGTCGACTTGCAAGAAGTGTGATCCTGGATCGTACCAACCCTATAGCGGACGAAGCGCCTGCGACACGTGCTCTCAAGGAGACTACCAGCCAAATGCTGGCAAGACAAGCTGCTTTGAATGTCCGCCCGGATCGCATGGAGACAGGGCAGGTGCAGCTAGTAGGACGACATGCAAAAAGTGCCCGCCCGGCTACCGCCAACCCTACAGTGGAAGGAGCTCTTGCGATAAGGTGCGCTGAGGAGGATTGTCATTCTAGGCCGCCAAAGGCAAGGCATCTTGATTCCGTGGTTTTCATGTCAGGGGCGTCAGAGGTTGGCACAAATAGCCTGCGCCGCGTATTTGACGGCGGCTGTATGGCTTCTCGATGAGTGCTTTGATGGTGACCAACGCGGCATTTGAGGAGTCTTCCTGAAGCTTGGAGTGTCAAGATTTGTTATTCTCTAATGCATATACCGTGCAGTCATTTCACCTGTAGTCTACGATAGTACTGTACCGTACATACGTCGTAAAGCAATGCTGCTCTGTTATCTCTCTCTATCAGCATCGCCATCCAGGCCCAGTACCGTTGCGGCGGCAACAACGGCGGGGAGACGAACCGAAGCCTAAAGTTAGATGCAGGTTTTGGCGCCGCCAAACCTATCACAATGCACACCTGGCAAGAAAGGTCGCATTCTAGCAGTGGCATGGGCGCTTCACTGTACCGTTACTGTATGTCCCCATCACACGTTCTCACAGTCCGTCAGCGGAAGACTGTGCTCCCCGCCATGACGCATTGCCCCGCTTAGCAAGGCACACCTCGCGGTCACAGGTACCGTAGAGAGCCGTCCTTCGCGCTGTGCTCCGCGCATCCTCCATTGTTCTCGCCTCTGTCGTGCGCAGGGAGTGCAATGTCCCCGCACCCGTCGAAGTCTTCCAAAGGTCGCAACAATGGGTGATTCCGCGTTGTTTTTTCCATTTGCCCACAAACTCGCTGGACATAAAGTAAACCCGAGTTTGAAAAATCCCACCACGAGTTTTGCGGACTGACCTCCAGCAAGGTACCTGCCCGCAACAAACGGAAGTCTGGTACAGTATATCGTTGTGCCGCCCGACGGATCACGTGCACCTGCGCGAATACTCGCTGAAGCGAATCTTGTAGCTCGCCACAAGGATAGAAACGTCCTCAGTCGAAAGGACGATGTGTTTCGTCTTCTTGACAGTCTGAGGGGGGCCGTTTAGAGAGGACTGCTTTTTAGAAGCTTCTACTTATCTATCTTTCGCGGTTGCTTAGGCGGCATCTCTGGCAGATCCTGTCGCCCTTTTTATCTATTGATCGACTTTGCGCAGATGAAGCGATAGGGGCGTCCATGATGCATATCGCCACGACCCCGTGCAGTCTGGGACTCATTGTGCTGATGAAAAGAACGGAAGACCCACTTCGTTTTTTTTCACGACGGGTCGATCCAGCACTGCTGTGATTAGGCGGATGTGAAACTCGTGGAAAACTCACATGCCCCGAGTTTTCGGTATGCTGTGAGTTTTGCCAAACGCGTTGTTTGAAATTTTTGCGTTCAGAAAATCCAAGCAAACTCGTTGCCAAAACACGCGTTTTCGTGACTTTACGGAGAACGTTACTGTACTTTGCATAAACATACTGTGGGTCGAGGGCTACCCTCTAGAGAGAATAGACTCGCGGTAGAGATGCTCTTATGTTGTCTAAATGTCACTTCTCTTTTTTAAACAGGCGTTTGGTTTTGAAGATATCAATACTAAACGCTTTCAAGGCTGCTCCAAAAAACTTATTTGCCAGGCATTTCTAAAAACTACCGGAAGGACGTGCAGCTCTCACCAAAACACTTCCTTCCGCAAAGCAGAACACAGGTGCGGTAGCCAGGGTATCTTGCATCGAGAAAGCACAAGTCCAGAAACAAATGAGTTGAAAAGCATCCTCGTAAGATGTCACCTGTCATCTGCACACACGGGCATGCGAAGTCTTCCGCGAACGGACACGATGGCGCCGACGTCTCGGACACTGCCGCATCTTGTTCACACCCTGACACCAGAAAAATGTTCACTAGGCCTTTAACATCCGACACGAAACGCGCCCCCAGGCTTGCGTCGAATTAACCAAACTAGCCTACCTTGCTGCTACTGTGTCTCTACTCTACTCTTACTCCAGTTCGCTAATTCCAAACCACCCACACTCCAAACGAAACTTCTCATCAGCGCCACCTCGCCCATGACGGGCAGGTCAACCGGGCCGCGAGGCATCATGTCCATCCCTGCGACCACAACCCCATGATTGTGGTCTATCTGTGCAACCTCGGGGCACATCTCACCGTCCGTTTGGGCCAACACAGCCTCAGACCCATCCTCTCGCCATTGCAAGATTCGTTTCCCTCTTGCAGTTTTTTGGGGTGTTCGCCCTGTGCGAGAAATAGTATCCAAGTCTGTTGCACTCAGAAATCGATTTGTGATATCATCCCAGTCTTCTTTCACGCAAAAATGAATTGTGATCCCTCTCTCCATGTCCCACACCCGCACCATCTTGTCTGAGCATGCAGATACAACACGCCGTCCGTCTGCATTCATCATAACGCTAGCCATCGGACCCGTATGTCCATTCTGTGAAAGCCAGGAATCCGGTGACCCTTTTACTCATGCCTTTTCCTCTGTCTCTACTTATACTACTTCGCTGGGCACGGGGTTGTGCTGGAGGCACAGCTCCGTGCAACTCACTGTCGACCTGGTGGCGCTCCACGTATCACTTCTTCCACAGTGGTATGTAGTATCACTTGTGCGCTCTGTCACATTCAATTCGTCCCCGACTTGTGCTCCCGTCTCCACGTCCCACACCCGCACGTTCCCGTCTCCGGATCCAGATACCACACGTCTTCTGGGCACATTCATCGCAAAGCTGATCACCATTCCCGTATGTCTAGTTAATGCATCCTCCAGTTGTGCTCCCGTCTCCACGTCCCACATCCGCACGCTCTTGTCTTCCGATTCAGATACCACACACTTTCCGTCTGCACTCATTGCAACGCCACCCACCTCCGACTCATGACGGCGGAAACTTATCAGTATTTTCCCCTCATATAAACTCCACAGCGTCTGCGTCCCATCTTCATTTCCGACAACCACATACACTTTCCTCTCGCAGAAAGTCACGCAGCTGCCCTTCGTCACCTTTGCTATTCCTCCAGTCACTTCGGATTTTTCACTTCAAGAACACGACCCGGAACAATTCCTCACACCCCTGCTCCTTTTGCGCTTGCTTCCCTCAATGTTCCTTGAACCTGTACTCTCTGTTTCAAGGTCGCACTCCAATCGAATCACCTTCGTCTCCTTCTCAAGTAAATGCGTGAAAAATGTAACTTTTAGCCCGCACAACTTCACCTGACATCCATACACTCCACCGCCGAAGTCCATCTTGATTTCGATGCCTCGGTGATAGCGATATAGGAAGACAATCTGCTCTACCAAATTTCCACCGGCTGGCCCCACACATTCACAAACACGCCGTATCTACGGCCGCGGCCGTGCATAATCTCCTTTTCTTCTTCCCACTGCATCCAGCAGTGTCTGCCAGGATTGATAACTCTTGAAGAATGCCCGTGTTTATATCGTTGAGAACATACATATCATCAACGTTACTAAAACATACGTGTGTGCTAAACCATGCTTGCGCCTTGGTTAGTACCCTGCCACAATAGCTCTGCTCTCGCATTTCTGGAGCCGTTCGGCTGCCACCGGACGCCTTCACGATCGTGTACAGCCGTTCTGACACTCGCCCTCCGTTTGCATCTTCCCCCAGAGACACAAAATACACTCCTCCCGAGAAACGACTCTTAATATCATCGCCATGCTTCGTGTCGTTCGACAAGACATGAGATGAGGCGAACGGTTTGTTCAGCCCGGCCGGTAAGGCGTAAGATAAGTGTACGGGTCAGCGATGCCGTTAGTGACTATGGGGAATTGTTCGGATTCGGAAAAGTGGCGGTGACAACACGTCGTTTTCTCTCCTTTCTTTCTTTCTTTCTTTCTTTCCTTTCTTCCTTTCTTCCTTTCCTTTCTTCCTTTCTTCCTTTCCTTTCTTTCCTTCTTTCTTTCCTTTCTTTCCTTCTTTCTTTCCTTTCTTTCCTTCTTTCTTTCCTTTCTTTCCTTCTTTCTCTCTCTCTCGCTCTCCCACATGTGGTCGGATGCCGTTTTCATGTATGACGTTCTTCGTCGTGGCACAGAGTGGGCAGCAACGACATGCTTCAACGCTTACACATATATGCTTAGCGCTGCAGATGAGTTCAGTACCTTGAGGGGGAGTACCTCTGACAGTATAGGGTGAGTGCCCCTCGCCAGTAGATTTTGTAGAGATCTCTTGCAATGGTTTTGCGACTTGTTATTGCGTTGTCGGCACATGCCAACATCGCATGCCAACCTGGGACATCACCACTCTGGTGAAGCGGGTCTGCACGCCAGGCACATGACATGTCCGCCGAGCTACGCGGAGTCTAAATGGCACGTGTCCTTATGTGACGTTGCTTTCATGATAAGAAAAGAAAGATACCCTCTCCATCACACATGGCTCCCGCGAAGCGAAAGGATGGAAAAAAGTAGAGAGCTTACCTAGTCCGATTTTTACAGGGTTCAGGAAAGAAGCATTTGCGGAATTCTGAAATTCAAACGTGAAGAGGAGTGCAGCATTGTGGATAGTACTCGCTAAGTCCCAACAAATTCATTGCTTAACCCTCAACCAATACAGTACCAAGGGTACAGTCGACCCTACGCATTAGTGCCACCCTGTGTAAAGACTAATAATACGGCACTAATTCGGAGCGGCACAATCAGAAAGCAGAATCACTACCCGGCCAGAACTCTGTTATTAGAGTCTGCTGTTGTTGCCTTTGACCCTGTCTCTCATGCCTAGCTTCTAGTGTCTAGACGACAAGCAATTTGACCTCATATGAGGTCAGTCATGGCCTCATATGAGGCCAGCTTTTTTTTTGCAAAAAAATATAAATTAAATCGAAACTTTAAAACATTCAGTTTGGACACCATTTCTTTAACGTATACGCGCTCGGCAATAACATCTTGCAAAGCATTGGGATGGCGGTTGTCAATGCACAGAGAGACTAAGAATCTAAAGAACTATCAATGATGAGTTGACTTTTTAAACAGGCGTTTTGGTTTCGAAGATATCAACATAAAACGTTTTGAGGTTGGTCAAAAAAGGCTCCTTTTTGGGCATTTTAAAAATGGCTGGAGAAGACGTGCAGATCTCACCAAACTCCACCCTTCCACAACGCAGAAGTCAACTGCCGTGTCGAGAGTATCTTTTTTCCATCTTGTTGAGCTAGCACAAGTCGAGAAAAATAAGTTGAAAAGTGACCTCATATGAGGTCATTTGTCACCTAGACACTAGAAAAGCTCGTTTTGCGGACCTCAAGTGCGATAAGGCATTGCTCACATCGCACTCCACACCCAGACTCTCCAAAGACCCAAACAACCTTGCTAGCACTACAGCACTCGGTACGGCCCGCCTCTCCGTAATTTCACACTCGTCTTCAGCCACACAATCATCCATCATAGCATCACTGGCAGACTGATTCTGTAGCTCTCCACCATAATGTATTGAATCGCAAGCATCACTAATAGAAGCTTCTGCCACAAGCACATTAGTCTCGATCTCAATCCATTCCTCCACATCTTTCCTGCAGAATTCTGCAGTTTCTGCAAGGCCGTCTTCTGGCACCAGGCTCAGTCGGGAGAGAAACCCTACTATACCATCCACCATAGATTTATCAATTTCTGTTTCATTTCGACCAACTTTCCGACCTGCAGCAGATGCCCAACCTCGATTTTCTGTGCAATCGTAAGGCGCGTACGCTTCGCTTTGGCGATCTTTTCAGGATTCATGTTAGGGTCATTGAGTGAGGTGCCATCACGTCACCAATTGAGCTGAGGCGCATGAGGAGTGGCCGATGACGACGTCGTGCATGACACGTGGCAGAACCTGTGTCTGCCGGTTTTGGCGGCACTAATTCGAGGGTGGCAATAATGAAAGCGGCACTTTTGCGCGTCCCCCCTCCCCCTGTACATGGAATAGACCTCTTCCATGTATGCGAAATTTGGATGTACCGACGTGGAATACTTGCAAGTGCGGAATTTCTGAACGTCGCGGAGTCCGACTGCATCCTGCAGTCATACAATGCAACCAATCTGAGGTACAGTACCCTTGTTCTCCTGAGATGAAGTGTTTTCAAAGTCAATCTAAATTTTACACATCTCTTTAGTGTCTGCTTAACTGTACCCTCCTCTCTTCTTTTCGCGATTCTTTTCTTGTGTGTGAGAGTTTGCGCTCTCATTGACGGTAGCATACTGCCACCGCCGAGCCGAACGTCGCTGACAGAGGAGGAGGGAGGGCTTCGCTGTCGGAGTGCGCGGTATGAGTTGGTGAGATGGACTGTGGGGATTTTGGGAAGGCGGGGAGGGCAGAGGCTCGTGATTTGGAAGTGGCCCAAATTGAGCCATGGCCCAAATTAAGCCGGTGAGAAGGGTACAGTACCTCTGTACTGTACTTCTGTACTGTACTTCTCGTGTAGCGTATAGAAGCCTCTGTTTCGTGCCATTTCACTAGGAGGTGCACGCACAGCCAACACTGTTTTCATCCATCCCCGGACTCTCTTTGTCTTGAGGTGATCTTGTCATAAAACATAGTGATACATCCGTCGTCCCTGAAACCGCACGCGTACATGCGGCTCACAGAATAATGGAATCCGCTACACTACCATCAGTGACTCCCTACGTCTCAATAGACGTACAGTACATTTATAGTATAAATGTATAAATTTTATACACACGTAGGCACGGCATTGTTCCCATCTGAAGACTACAAATAGAAATGCCTGGCTGGAAAAAGAATATATGCAATTTAGCTGCATTGATCAAGCGCATCTTGCTCGGTACGAAATACCCTCAGGTTCAGAGAACGAGGGAGGCCGGGGTTAGAGCATCTACTTAAAGGCAGATAGTTTGCTAGTACAGTAGGAAAAAGGTAGCCAAGAAGAAAAGCAACAACCAACCTTTCCTCCAAACGTTTATCGCCCAACCTCACAACACCCCGTAAGAGATCTCTCAGGTCTGAGAAGCTGCCAGTTGCACATGACATAATGGGTGTAAGAAGAGCACTGTCAAAAAATAGCTCGCAAATAGGCCCAAAACACGTACACCTGTAAAACTATCTGATGTACAGTACTGTAGGATGCCAAACTCTGCGGCCGTGTAAACCTGTTTCTGTACGCTACTGACTCTTTGGAAATCGTTTGCAGAACGTTTGCACGACAAACCTGTCTTTATGGGTTTTGACAAGTAAACTTTGATATTTCATCCGCCTGTCCTCGGCTACGGCCTGTGATGCCAAGAACACCGATGCCTCCCTGCTCCTGTGGAGCGGGGGCCGATGGTGGCTTTAATAGGTGCCTGTCTCATGTGCCTCAACGGCAGTGCCTCATCCACAGTGCTGTCCTAGCTCTGGATGAAACCACATGACCAAACTGTGACGCAGTTGCCTTATCAATTCACTTCATATCTCCCTCGAGCTATAGCAGTTAGTTCTACAACGGTATGTACAGTACGTATTTATCACATCACTCCACTCCCAGAGCAGGGAGAAGAATACTGTAGGATGGGGGCGAAGGAGCGAGCAAGGCGGGAAGAGGGATAAGGGACAACGATGCAAACAGAGGAGGCTCCATCGCGATTTCCTACATCCCACATCGCAAAAATGCAGCTCACCGCCTTCAGTTGACATAAACTACTGTACCCTTCGAAGGGTACAATATTCGTGCGACATCTTATCGATTCTGCAATTACACCTGCTGCACGTATCAAGAATGTAGACAGTGCACCCATCAATCGTCGTCTGTACTCTGTCCTGCCTCTTTCTCTAGCCCTTGAATCGCAGGCAAAAGTTGTGCTTGAAGTGGCTTCTCACCATCTTAAGACTATTATACAGTCTCCGTGGGGCAGGGAATCAACGTGATACCGTACGTTCAGGCTGTAGGAGCAAGCAAGTGTTATGTGAGCCGGAGGCGCGAAGACTTTGCAGAAGCAAAAGTAGGACACAGCACTGCTAGCAATACATAAGAGCGGCGCCCAAAATGCTCCGCATTCACGCCTCCGCCACTTGGTGTGAGTAGGACGCCACCTTGTTCAATTGCCATCCGATCTACATCGACACTTTCTTCAAATATCATTCACACCACCACTGCACACCTCAATCCAGACATGGCCCTCTCTACTAGAATGAACAGTATGACATTCTTCGTCTTGCTTTTCTTGCTTCCTCTGTGGCATGGAGCCAATGCCCGAGACCTCTGCCCTCCAGGAACTGTAAGCTCGACTGGGGCACAGCCTTGCAGAGACTGCCCCGCCGGCAGATTCCAACCTGATACAGGAAAGAAATCATGTTTGGTTTGTCCTAAGGGGACCTACCAAAAATACGGTGGACGAAGCTACTGCTACACCTGTCCCCAGGGGGATTATCAACCAGAAACGGGCAAGACGATCTGTCGTGAATGTCCGTCCGGGTCGTTCGGGAGATGGGAAAAGGCAACCAGCGCGGCTACATGCAAGAAGTGTGCACCTGGCATGTACCAAAAATACAGCGGACGAACCTACTGCTATACGTGCTCTCAAGGAGACTATCAACCAAAGGAGGGACAGACAACCTGCCTTGAATGTCCGCCCGGATCGTATGGCAGGAAGGAAGGTGCAACTAGTAAGGCGACGTGCAAGAAATGTGCGCCTGGAACGTACCAACCCTATAGCGGACGAAGCTCCTGCTATACGTGCTCTCAAGGAGACTATCAACAAAAGGAGGGACAGACAACCTGCCTTGAATGTCCGCCCGGATCGTATGGCAGGAAGGAAGGTGCCACTAGTAAGGCGACGTGCAAGAAGTGTGCGCCTGGAATGTACCAACCCTATACCGGACGAAGCTCCTGCTATACGTGCTCTCAAGGAGACTATCAACCAGAGGCGGGACAGACAAGCTGCTTTGAATGTCCGCTCGGATCTTATGGACGCAAAGCAGGTGCCACTAGTAAGGAGACGTGCAAGAAGTGTGCGCCTGGAATGTACCAACCCTATGGCGGACGTAGCTCCTGCTATACGTGCCCCGAAGGAGATTACCAACCAAAGGCAGGACAGACAAGCTGCTCGGAATGTCCGCCCGGATCGTATGGAAGGAAGGAAGGCGCAACGAGTAGCGCGACGTGCAAGAAGTGTGGGCCTGGATCGTACCAACCCTATGGCGGACGTAGCTCCTGCTATACGTGCCCCGAAGGAGATTACCAACCAAAGGCAGGACAGACAAGCTGCTCTGAATGTCCGCCCGGATCGTATGGAACGAAGGCAGGTGCAACTAGTAAGGCGACGTGCAAGAAGTGTGCGCCTGGAACGTACCAAAACTATAGCGGACGAAGCTCCTGCTATACGTGCACTCAAGGAGACTACCAGCCAAATGCTGGGGGGACAAGCTGCTTTGACTGTCCGCCCGGATCGTATGGAAGCAGAGCAGGTGCAACTAGTAGGGCGACGTGCAAGAAATGTGAGCCTGGATCGTACCAAAACCTTAGCGGACGAAGCTCCTGCTATTCGTGCTCTCAAGGAGACTACCAGCCAAATTCTGGAGGGACAAGCTGCTCTGAGTGTCCGCCCGGAACGTTTGGAGACAGGGCAGGTGCAGCTAGTAGAGCGACATGCAAAAAGTGCCCGCCCGGCTACAGCCAGCCGTATAGTGGAAGGTACTATTGCAATAAGGTGCGCTGAGGATTGTCATTCTAGGCCGCCAAAGGCAAGGTATCTTGATTCCGTGGTTTTCATGTCAGGGGCGTCAGAGGTTGGCACAAATAGCCTGCGCCGCGTATTTGACGGCGGCTGTATGGCTTCTCGATGAGTGCTTTTTGATGATGACCAACTCAGCCCTGAGGGCCATTCCATTCATCGTGATTGGCAATCACGCAATCACGCAATCACGTCAATAAATGGTGCCTGCTCCCTTGTGGTTGGTTGTTTATATTACGTTTCCTAAAAAAGGGTCATACTCATTAAAGAAATAAACAATCGACTTAAAATTAATCTTGTGCTCCAACTTGC